ACATTGTTGCCTGAAATGGCTTTGTATCTGCAGCCTGAAGCATTTACACAAGCCAAAATTCTTGAAGTAAAAACTGGGCTCATAAAAACCAGCCATTTAACTGACTTGGGTTTAATATATTTTAGTATTTTACAATTCACCACATCCATCTGTGGCCATCCTCAAAAATGCTAAACATACTGTGTATTAGGCATTCCAGTGGCTAAGCATCCATGTTACAGCTTATTTCAACGCATAAAAAGCTGGCTTTTGACCAACTAAAATGAAAGATTTGTGAAAAAACAATCTGCTTATAATGATTGAAAAGACCTCATTGAAGCTTTTGAATGTCGAGCAGGAATGTGACAATCCAGTGTGAACATGGAGGATGCCTGTTGGTGCCGTGTTGCCAGGTTGTTTTCCAACTCGACTGTACATTTTGAATCTACAATTAACAGCTTTGTCTTATTCGTGACATTTCTCTGTTAAACCACATGATGCCGGTTCCAGTATTGCTGTGATGTTTTGCTATTCTGGGCACTGAATCATTTTTAAATTGATTTATTAATTTCATCCTTAAATCATTTGAATCCAAGCAATACAGTGATTCTGAATATTAGTATCACTGTAGAGTGTTTTGTTCCACAAATGATGAAAAAATATGTAAAGATACAAACAGGATTGCAGATTTTGCAAGTGATAGATAAAGACTCAAAATAGAAAAAATAAATTTTAAGTAAAGGAATATTAGTAACAGATAACAGTCAGCAACACAGATGCAAACTAAACAATACCAGGAGAACTGCATTAATGCATTACAATGAATTAAAAAAAGAAAATCAAAGATCAAAGATCAGTTTTCAGCAATAAATATTTCTTGGCATGAAACTATTCACCATGATATATACAGTGGCGAAAAGTAACATATACTCATGTACTGTAGTTAAGTACAAATTAAGGAAACTTGTACTCTACTTATTGAAATGTTATTTTATATTTCACACGCTAAAATTGTACTTTTTTCCTTCAATACTATACTATACTACTAATATTTCTGCATCAATTATTAAAATTCAATAGTAATGTATGTTTTTGATCTGAAATGGACCATGGAGTACTTTTACTTTTGATACTTAAAGTATATTATATTACTATTTTTACTTAAGTAACAGATGGTAGTTCCACCTATGGATTGGTGTTACCGCAGTGATGTCTTACCTTATGAATATTCTAGCAGGCAGGTCAGTTTCAGGGTCAGAGTAGCAGTGGTCTCTGTTATTTTGGGATTTGCGTTGCCATGGAAACACCCCTCAGGCCAGCTGAATTAGCCAAATAGTTTAAAAGCCCACACTGGGATTGATATTCTCGGTGCGATCGATTGTTTACATTAACCTCCCATTTGCCACCATATGAACAGATATTGTAGTTCAGGGTTTCCACAACGTTAAAACAGTTTAATGCATTTGTCCACCATTTGTATTTGAATGGCTGAAATCTTATCGAGGAAGAAAATGGTTAAATTGAACCTATGCAGAACCCCCCCACACACCCCACCCC